CCACGACCAGGCTTTTGAAAACGCGGAGCGCGCCTCATGTGCCACTCTGGCTTCCAGGGGTGAGCCGCACAACAATTCCGAGAGTTATCCGACTTGTAAGCACCGCAGTTACCATCTTCAGGGTGAAAGCGTAGAGGTCAAAGATCCACCAATCAACACCATCAAAACCAACTTTCTACCTAATACTTACCACGATACTTTCACCCTGAAGATGGCAACTACAACGTCAGTTGAAATGCTGGTTAACCATCAACATGGCTCACGACGAACAAAACCCAAGAGAAATTAAAGTCTAGCAAAACAGGAAATTTCCAAAACTTGTTTTAAAAAAAAAAGCTTTAGACGCTAATACTAACGACGGAAGTCGTGAAAATGTAACGGTGAAATTACTTCCAAAGCCGACCATGTCCTCGGCTGCCGATTTCGTCTCCCCTGCAAAATGAAGTCCTGTTACTGGGCGAACATAGTAATCACAAATGCACGTACTCTGACTGAAGTTGTGCGTGCTGGGCTTTCTTCTCGCTTCTCGTTCAGGACGAATTTTCTCCATCAGCTTACTTATTCGGTCATTCCCCTTTTCTTTCTTTACGAGAGGTCCCGGGCAGTTCTCTTCCACGACCTTCACGCAGTGACGGTGGATGTTTAACGCGCAGTCTGAAAAGACGAAGAAGGAAATAAATTTTATGCTTCAACTCGACTGTCAAACACGTCACGGCTACATTTTGGGTTGTAACGCCGCACAGTCTGGTGGATGACGGAGGCAACCACGACCTCTAAAACCACACTAAAACCCACTCACCACCAAGAGAACCTCAAATCGTACCGTCGTAGAATGTTCCGCTCAGAAAGCTCGTTTGTTTCGTGGGTTGGTTAGCGGGCCAATTATGTGAGCCTTGCGAAAACAAGGATCTGAGGAAGACTTCGGTACAAACTCTGTCTCAGAAATAAATAAATGATAGATAACGCTATCCAGTCAACTGCATTAAATTTAAATTTTAATAAATATTTAAAATGTCAGTGCAAACTAATCACTGACTCAGGATTCCAGATCCTTTGCCCCGCAAGAGGTCCCCATTAGAGCGACACTCTTGCATTCAAAGACGCCCTCACGCACCTGAGCACTGGTATCCCTGAGGTCCAATGCCCCAGATTATCAGCTGGCAATGGTTGCAGTACGTAACCGTATAATACTGATGTGCCACGAAGTGATGACCGCGTACCGTCACCTGAAACAAAACAAAAAATTCCTTTGTTTCTAATGAACTGCACCCCACTTAATGGTACCTGCGCCTTGTCGTGGCGGTGGGGCCGAGTACCTCGGTGACCCCAAGAGCTACTGGTAGGGCCTCCGTAGCCAGATTGGTCGAGGGGGAGAGGTACCCTGGTCCTCCAGGTTGGGGGTTGGTCGCAATGCACCGTAAAAAGGAAGACGTTTCGAAACCTCGATCAAAGCCTCGGACAGACGGACCTAACAGAGGACCGAAGGGAAGAGAAGAATTGAGGAGGCCATGGACCGAAGAAGGAGGAGGAGAAGGAGGAGGAGAAGAAAACTCTGTGGGCAAAATACAGATTTAATGATCATTACAGCGCGTCACACACGCAATCACCACTGGGCTTCGACCTTTACGGTTTACCAGCGCGCCAGTGTGCGCACAGCCAGACGTACCACACCAAAAACCGTGCTGTACAGACGATAAAAGGTTAATGGGTTAAAAGTAAACAGACCTATCGAAATTACGGTAATTTTACGTACCTTTCTGGTTTTCCCAATAAGTTTGGCCTTGAGGGATTTATCTTTGGAAACAAATGTGGGGCAGCGATCAAGTAAGGCACTGGAATGTGGACTGCGCAGCCCAAACACTTTGCCCATCACCGTACCCAGAGC